AGTCTGCTGTGCCGTCGCCACCATCACCTTTCTCACCTCCCACCTCTCATTCCCTCTTGTACTGTAGATGTCTGTGCACTGAACTCTCCTAAGTTATAACACATGATTACATGCCACCCATGTTTCTACCCTTTACAGTGCCTCACACAGTGACTACTCCACAGACATGGAACTGAAATGCAATCGTCTTGAAATGGCAGCCAGGACATTATGCCTTTTCGTTTTAGCAATAGCAGCCAATAATAACATTTACTCAGTGTTCACTCTGTTCCAGGTACCATGATGAGTATCTTAACAACTTCTCTGATTTAGCTCACCTTACAACCCTATGGAGAAGCTTACTGTCATTATCCCCTTTATTTTCAAGGAGGAAACTACAGCTGGAAAAAGACTGAATACTTGCCAAAGGTCACATCACTGGTAACAAAAGCCAGTTCTGTACTGTACCACCCCCACTGCACTTTTAATCAATACAGAGGAAGTAGACAGCAATTAAGTAAAATAAGGGATCGGATTTCACATAAACCAGCCTAAACAATTCTGAAAATCTCTTCAAAGAAAGGGAGCCACCCTCTACCAACATCACCTGTTATTCCACTTAGCCTCACAAGAACCCTAAAAGGACGGCACGGTCACTGTCCTCACTTTCCAGGGGACGCACTGAGCTAGAAAACAATGAAATAAGTCACCAAAGTCTCAGCTATAGTCTTTCCACGAAATTTATATGCCTTCTTTGAAAAAGACAGAGTCAGCCAATGTTGGATTCCAGAAAATATTCTGGGACACAGTAATGTTTTACTTAAGAGTTAAAGTCATAGGTCCATGGAAAAGAAGATTTAAACATAAAAGTTGAAGCCTTTATATATACAACAATGACTGGATGACAGGAACAGAAACATACTCCAGTAATAGACACTCAAAAGGGTTTTACATCTCAGCTACTAAAAACCAGTCCCACCAGCGTTCAGGGCTTGTTTGAGGAAGCAGTCCCTGGTCGGTCCGCTTCAAACAGCCATTATGATTCATGCAGTAGCTTCGCAGCCCCACACAAATCACACCAGAACACGCCTTAGGGAAACAGCTTCTTCCAGACCAGACTCTTGACTTGCCACAGAACTGTTTCTCAGATCCTCAGAGTTGTTGCGTGTGGGCAGTTTCACTTGCCATAGGAGCAGAGTTCCTGAGTGTGAATTCTTAGTGAATCCTCACATAACACCAACTCGTCAGCATTTCCTCAGAAAGCACACTGGGAAGAATGACCCAAGAGGTCCGGTTTAGCTGCCCAATCCCCTGAGCGATGGTTCCTTTTAAGGGAGTGCCCTGCAAGTCCAATGGGGTTAATGTGGACAGACAGACAAAGGCGCATTCCACTGCCAAGTAAAAATAACTTGACAGAAAAATAAAAACGTGTGCATGAGAAACATCAGCCCAGAGCAAAAGGAGAGAGCCGCTGATCAGTAGGGGCACACTACGTTTTAAAGAACTGCACGCAGACAAGAGGAACAGGAAAAGAGAAACCCACGGGCAGGGAAAATGAGAATGTCTGCAGCTCCAACACGATTTGACTCTAGTTTCCAGCTGGACTACAGCTCAGATGCCACAATTAAAACGATGTAAGTGATGCACAATGCACAGCTGTATTTAAACCCAACAGTGAATGCCTTCAAAACCTAGCCACACTTTCCAGTTGCCACAAAATAGCCCCTCAGGCTTGAAGAAGCCTTACTCTACAATTTAAAACACTTCCTTCTGCCAATTAAAAAAAAAAAGCCTCTGGTTTAGGGTAAGAGATCTATGACCGAAAGTCCTGTTCTATTTACTGTCTCATTCTAGTGCTACTGAGACAATCACTAACCACAGAAAGCTAAAAAAATTTTCTAGGCTAATAGCAAATAAAAATCTACTTTAGATTCTTGAAATAAGTCCCTATTATCTGGTTGGGATGACCTTGTATGCATGATTGTCACTAACTGTTCCAAAAAGAGAATTACAAATTACTAACACAATTACTCTTTATTGAACACTATTAATATGTACCATGTTAAGGACCTAACCCTGGAGAAGCAAATGGCAACCCACTCCAGTATTCTTGCCTGGAAAATTCCATGAACAGAGGAGACTGGTGAGTTACAGTTCATGGGGTCCCAAAGAACTGTACATGACTGAGCACTCACACAAGGACCTAACATGCACTCTCTAACATAATCCCCAAGTCAACTCTAAAAAGTATTTTCATCGAACTTTCCTGGTGGTCCAGTGGTTAAGAATCTGCCTCACCAATGCAGAGGATACAAGTTCAATCCCTGGCCCGGAAAGATCCCACAGGCCACAGGGCGGCTGAGCCTCTGTGCCGTAACTACTGAAGCCCAGTGCCCTAAAGTCTGTGCCCCATGAGAGAAGCATGTGGGCAGTTTCTCTGCAATGAGAAGTCCAATCACTGCAACTAGAATAGCCCCCACTCACCACAACTAGAGAAAACCCACATGTGTAAACCAAGACCCAGCACAGCCAAAAATAAAACTAAGAAGTATATTTTTTTCCCACATATCCTTCCCCAGCAGCAGCTCACAGAGGTGAGGTGACCTGCCTGCAGTCACACGGCTGGGCAGTGGCCAGGCCTGGCCTGGAATGTATAATTCCAGAGCCCAAACGTTCTTTAACACCAGATCATAAACATGCCATCTGGTCAAAGCTATTTCACAAATATTTTCTTCTGTCTCATTGCCACCCCCAAATAAACCAACACGCAACATTAGCAGCTGAGTGAAGCTACCAGGGCCAGAATTTTGGTTGTTCACATCACAGCCCTTCCCTCAGAAACACATCACACATGCCCAGGGCAACAGGACTTTGGAAGGGTCACCGTGGCTAGGTGAGCTGCCTGGCTAAGGTAGTCTGGTTTTCACATTCAATTTCGTTGTTTTAATAAAAGCAATACACCCTGAAGAACAAACTTCTGCTGAGTAATTTAACTTAATCACGTGGCCTAATCAAGAGAGGTTGGTCCTCAGTATTTGTATTTATATAATACTCTGGCATGAAGATCATCTGTACTAAAAAAAGAAAAAAACAAAACCTGCTAGATTAATCTACCTTTCCCTTTAAATAGTAACCTCCGGTGTCTCAGGTAGAGGATTCAGGTAAAGCTGTCCTAACAGCCTGAGTCAGCAGACTGACTTGACTCCACAATCTTCCCTTCACTAAAAGGCACTTTACTTCTATTAATGTTCTACTAATATAACTACAGTACTCTGTCCTGAAACTGGGGAGTCACACATAATAAAATTAACTTGTAGGCAGTGTAACACATTAGAAATACATACCTATCATTTTATTATTAGACTAGAAAGATGCCTGCAGGCAGTCAACAAAAGGTCTCCCAGCAACTGACAAGCAGAGTTAACTAAGCAAAGATTTTCTTTCTTTGGAGACATGAAACTCTCATTCAGTCAAGAAAGATGGATTTTGTCACTTATTCTTCTCTAAAAAGGAAAGCGCCACATGGAGACCATAAATGGGGTGAATTGCATCTCAGAGCAATGTTATATGTGCCAAGTTACAAAGCCTGTGAATACAAGGGGTGGATTAATGGAAAGACTGATACCATCTTACTACAGTGGCCTCTCTGTAGCTCCGGACAATGATCTGTTGAGGGTTTTCCAGTGATTTTGAATGTGCAACCTCCATACAAGCCCCCTTTCAAGGGGGCTGGCTCAGTGCTGAACAGTCAATCCCTTTGCAGAAAGCAAGCCAAAAGCCCCCACACAAGCTTCTGGGTGAGAAGCTTGGCCCTGTAGGCGTGGGAAGGCTCAGACTTCAGAGACAAAAGGAGTCAAAGCGGGCGGTGGGCTGGGGAGAGCTGGCTGGGCCTGGGTCCACCTGCCTGGAGAGGACCCAGACTCACAGGGCTGCTTTCGGGGAAAGAGTTCAAAGGGGCTGGGGGAAAAGGACAGAAGAAAGCACATCAGGAGTGAAGTCAGTGACCCCTGAGAACAAACCCCGCTACAAGGGATGAAGTGAGATCTCCAGAAACAGCGGTGGGCACACCTTGAGGAGATGGGGCAGCCTGTCTACTATCAGAGGTGGGGGTGGGCTATCGGCCCCTGACCTCCAGTCTATCTCCTAAAAAACAACTTCAGGGATGCTCCTTGGCCCCAGCGAGGAAGGACACTGTGGGGTAAAGCCACCATACTAGAATTACCACATTCCCTTCTTCTACGGAGGGGGCCATGGCATCCTTCTGCCAACCCACAAGACCGGAGGTGAGCCCCTGGGACAACACTGGTAAGATCCCTTCCAAATGAAGTCAGACCCGGAACAGGCCCTCTGACCCTAAGGATCCCTCAGATCCACGGCCAAATCAGACCTTAACCTGGGTAAGTCTGCTGCCGCTTGTCTCCCAGCCTTGGAGATCCCTGCCCACCCCGAAGGCCCATCTCAGAACCACCTCTCAGATTTAGCTGCAGACACTGCCCCCAAACCCATCTTGAAACCCCCGATCCTTTCCTAAGATTCCTATCTAGCTAATCCCTCAGCCCCTAAAAGCCTATTCTCAGATCCCAGTAACTATTTCCTGTACCCGTAAACCCTCCCCTCAACCCCCTTGGTCCGGTCTCAGGCATCCCAATCCTCGACTACCGTCCCCTCAACCCATTCCAATCCAGTCTCGGTCCCTCAATTCCCTCCTCGCCTCCCCAGACTCGGCCACAGCCCTCCACGATCCCGAATGCCCCTTCCAGGCTCCCTAATCCGCGTTCCACTCCGCCTCAGGACCCCTCCAGCCCCCGCAAGCCCTGTCCCACCCAAGACGCTTTTCCCAGCTCCGCCCCAGCCTCGGTCCTCTCATCCCCAACCCCACCCCAAGCCCGCCTCCCCAATTTCTCGTCCCAGTCTCCTCAACCCAACTTGAAGCACCGCGACCGTCTCTGCCTCGGGCCCCCGGCCCCGTGCGCCCCCCTGGAGGCCCCGCCACCGCCGCTTTGAGCTGTCGCTCAGCTCACCTCCTCCATCTTCTGCACCATCTCTGTCAGCTGCCCCTCGTCCTCCAACAGCTCGTTGAGCTGCACCAGCGACAACCCGGCAAACCGAGCTTCGCTCGCAGCGCCCGCCATCCTCCCGTCTCGGCTACCGCCGCCGCCGCAGCTCTGGCCGCCAGGCTCCGCGGACCGGAAGCACCGCCCTCAAGGCCCGCCCCCAGCGGGGGGGGCACGTGACGCCAGCCGTGGGCCCTGACGTCATCGCCTCGCGGGCGGGCGGGCGGACATGACGTCGCAGTCTGGGCACTTGGCAGGAAGCGTGTTAGAGGCTGGGATTCTCTGGGAAGCATGGGGGGTCTAAGGGAAGGGACCTGGAGACAGGCTTGTGACGCAGTGGTCAGCGGTAATGATGTCACTGCAGCATGACATCAGGAGGGTACGCCATGATGTCAGAAGAGCCTTTTCCTCAAGGAAAAGAGATGCCTAGATCTGAAGAAAGCAGGCAGTGGGACGGAAGTTCCTGTAGCCTAAGCCCAGTCTGACTGACGGAACCCTAAAGAAGGGGATTTTTGGAAAAACAACTTTAGATGCCTTTTGTTTTTCAAAATTGTGGAGCTGCCATGTCATTCATTTGACAAAATTGAGACCTACTATGTAGACTAGGAATTGGGTATATAGTTCTGAATAAAATAAAAAGGACCCCTACTTACAGGGAGGCAAACAAAAAAATGAAATTGGGAGCGTGCAAAGAAGGAAATGAATGTTGAAATAAAGAGAGTAATCGGGATACCTTTAAAGAGAGTAATGAAAGGTTGTCCTCTCAGAGAAGATGACATCTGTGGAGATCTGAAGAGTGAGAAGGGCAGAACCACACACCATTCCTATAAGAAGCCCAAGGCTACAAGACCAGCATGTACAAAAGCCCCGAGTCAATTCTAGCTTGGTACATTCAAGGAATGGCAGAAAACCAGTATGACTGGAACATCAGAGCAGGGACCCATATTAGTGACTGTTTGCCTCAACTCAGGAAGCTGCCTAGATACTTAGGTGGGCCAAGCTGTTCTTTTTCAGAGATATTATTGCATGTGGCATTGTGCAGTCTCCCCACCCCTAACAGCCTCTCAAGATCCAGGAATTCTGGGAACTTGTTATTCTGCTTTGGAATCGTCCACAGTTCTAGCTGGAAGAAACCAACATCTGAGGATAACCACCACAGCCTCCTAATTTTACACATACGGAAACTGAGGCCCTTGGAGGAGGAAGTTGTCTTTTTTCAAAATCAAGTAATTGGCAGATCTCCTGGCTCCCAGACTGGCATCGGCCACGCTGGCATCCTACCACACTGACCTCGGTGCATAACTCAGCACTGAGCACAGTCCAGACATTCAGTAAACACTTGTTGGCTGACTAATGAGCTTTGTGCATGAGGCTGATGTTTCTGCTCCCCCATCCGTAGAACATAAGGTCTGAGTTGTCTGCCCATACATTAGACTGGGCTCCAGTGACCATTCTCTTTCCTCCTAGCCCCTGTGACTAAGGGCACATGTTAGTAGGAGATGAGTAAAACTAGAGGAAGCATTTCATATTATCTATAAACAAAAGATTTTTATTGAGTTTGAAAAGGGCCCTCGATTGTTTTCTTCCTTTGATCTTGTCCAAAAAGGTGGTTTTAAGAAAGACCGTAATAAAGAGGAAGGGGATGGAGAAAGTCAAGTTTATAGCCAGAGTAGGCACTCAGTTTAGTTTCATTTTTTTTTACCTTTTCTCTCCAGGAAAAGTATAAACCTGCCAAATTGAGAATAGTAGCTGTACTTCCAGGAAATCCTCACCCATGAGGCTTAAGATGATGTCCAGAAGTTTCTCAAATTCCCCACAAAAGGTAAGAACAAGGTTGGAGCTCAGAGCACTCCACACATAGAGGGATGAAGTGACTCACTCAAGGCACACCAAGAACAAACCTGGTACTGAATGGCATACCTGTATACAGTGGTCCCTAGAATGCTTAGTCCAAACCAGGTTCACAGTTCAGCCCTGCCTGGTCCTTATAAACCTTCTCAAACCTGCTTTCTGCCACTGACCTATTCGAGTCACACACCACTTCCTTTGTCAAACAGAGCAAACCACAGAAAGGTCTTGTTTTCTGCTGCTCTAAAAACTTCTCGTCGCTCTTAAAAGTGGTTGAGAGAAGAAAAGAAACATAAGAAAACCCTGGCATTGGTGTCAGACCTGATGATTTAAATGCATGGGTGAGCTGGTACATCTCCCCCACCCCCTTTGTTTTGTGTTAAACTGAGGTCGGGGTTTCTCTGCAAACTTAAATCTGCCTGTAGTATTTCTGGGTTAATTAAGATTTTGCACTGGCGAATCAAGGGCAATGTATGTAGGTGCCAGGGCTTCTGTCTCAATGGGAGCATTGTTACTGCCCAGAAATGGATCTCCTGTTACACAACATGGGGAAATGGTTTGGAAGGCATACTTCCCCACCACCTGATAAAAAAAGAAAAATATATAAAGTTCAACTAGGTGGAGGTTATGGTCTTCTAGCCTTGAGGTTAGAATTCTTTCTCTCTGATGGAAGTAAAGAGAATTACAGATAGATGTTTCCCAGTTTGAGAAGCTGGGAGAAAATCTGGACCTGATGATGCCACATCCATAGCTCATGCTCTTAGCTATGTATGGGCAGCAGAGGAATGATTCCCTAAGGCAGCAGGTGGAACAGCCATGCTCCTCGGGACGTGTTCCTCCTCCTGAGGTCACTGCCGTTGTCACCGTCATCTTCTAATATCCAAATAGCCAACATGACCTAATTACTAGTCATCAAGAAGGGGAAAAAAATTCATTTTGGACAAAGTCCCCACTTTGCGAGTATAAGATATAAAAATAGAGAGCAGTATTTTTTTAAAATTATATTTAAGGTTGGTGTTATTTGGGTGTGTTCAGAAGGTGGAGGATGTAGGAAGCTTGGTTATTTTGATTTGAGGTTTGAGTTTTCTTGGTTTGGGGATTTCTGTCTTATTTTTTTGCTCCCTTGTGGGGTTTATTTAATCAACTGTTTCAGTCCCCCCACAAAAAAGAAGAAGAGGGAGAGAGAAAATATAACAAACCTTCACGTAACTCACCAAGTTAAGGGCTAAACATCATAGGCACAGTTAAAGCCCCTAATATCCTTTCTCCCTCTCTAGAGGACAGCTACTGTCCTATTTATTTTACCTTACATGTATACATCCATAATCTTAATTTTAAAACATACACATTATAGATATATATGCATATATAAGGGGCTTCCCAGGTGGCGCTAGTGGTAAAGAACCTGCCTGCCAATGCAGGAGACATAAGAGATGCAGGTTCAATCCCTGCTTCAGGAAGATCACCTGGAGGAGGGCATGGCAACCCACTCCAGTATTCTTCCCTGGAGAATTCCACAAACAGAGAAGCCTGGCGGCTATAGTCCATTGGGCTGCAAAGAGCTGGACACGACTGAAGTGACTTAGCACAGCACAACACACATACATATATACACACACAGATCTTTCCGGTACTTGCTTTTTAGGATCAATGGTGAGTTTTTTGCTTTTCAGTTTGTTTGTTTTTTTTTTTTTTTTTTTTGGCCACACTGGACAGTTGTGGGATCTTAGTCCCCCAACCAGGGATCAAACTCCAGGCCCACAGCAGTGAAAGCACGGAGTCCTAACCATTGGACCACCACGGAATTCCCAACAGGGAGTTTCTGAGATGCATCCTTGTTGATTCAGGTCTCCCAGGTGGCTCAGTGGTAGAGAATCCACCTGCACTGCAGGAGATGCAGAAGAGGTAGGTTTGATCTCTGGGTTGTGAAGATTCCCTAGAGGAGGAAATGGCAACCCATTCCAGTATTCTTGCCTTAAAAAAAAAAAAAAAAACCCATGGACAGAGAAGCCTAGCATGCTACAATCCATGGGGCCACAAAGAATCGGACATGACTGAGCACACACACACATCCTTGCTGATTCATATAGCTTGAAACATTTTTTTCCACAGCTGTATGGTGTGCCATTGTATACATACAGGAGTTTTTAAACTCCTTTCTTCTGTTGTTGGGGTCATAGGGTATTCACATCTTCAACATTATGGAATGTTGCTAAATTGCTTTCCAAAATCATTGTACCGGTAGTGCTTGTTTTATTGTGATCAAATATATGTAAAATTTACCATTTTGAATATTTTAAGCACACAGTTCAGTGGCTTCAAGTACATTCACATTGTTGTGTGACCATCGCCGCCATCCGTCTCCATAAGTGAAGCAGTAATTCCTGTTTCTCCCTTCACCCTCTGGAAACCATCATTCTATTTTCTGTCTCTATGAATTTGACTCTACTAGAGGCCTCACATAAATGGAATCATATAATATTTGTCATTTTGTCTTCCCTGGTGATCCAGTGGTTAAGACTTCTGCCTTCCAATGTAGGGGGTGCAGGTTTGATCCCTGCTCGAGGAAGGTAGGATCCCACATGCCTCTCAGCCAAATAAACAGCAAAATGTAAAACAGAGGCCATATTGTAACAAATTCAAGGACTTTTAAAAAATTTGTCCTTTTGTGACTACCTTATTTCACTTAAAATAATGTCTTCAGGGTTCATCCTTATTGTAGCATATGTCAGGATTTCATTCCTTTTAAGGGATGAATAATATTCCATTGTGTATATCGACCACATTTTGTTTATCTGTCAATGGATATTTGGGCTGTTTCTACCTTTTCTGCTGTGAATAATGCCAGTATGAGCGCTGGTATACAATTATCTGTTCGAGTCCTTCATTTCAGTCCTTTTGGATGTACACCCAGAAGTAGAATTTCTGGACTATATGGTATTTTTATCTTTTGGGGGAACCACCATATTGTTTAACAACATATATTGGTGCACATAGCAACTGCACCATTTCACGTTCTCACCAGTCACACACAAGGACTCCAGTTTCTCTGCATCCATGTCAAACTCATTTTCTGGAGGGTTTTTTCTTTTCTTTTTTTTTTTTAAGTATATAAACAGTCGTTCCAGACTCTTTGTTGGCTTTGCTTTTCTTTAAAAAAAAAAAAAATCTTGTGCCAAAAAAAGTGATCTCTGAAAGATTTGCATCACCTCATCTTTCACCCCATGCAG